ACAGATGTGAGATCCCCTTGGATTTTGGTTGCTTTTTCACTCAGGCGGTAACGTACCCAAATGTAGAATCTGACAGAGACTCTGTCAGTCTCAGGCACATAAGCAGACATGATCAAGGTTGCATGTATGACTATCATACATGCAACCTGCATCTCATTCAAATACAATATGCAAGTAAAGCTAAGTCCCTAAGCCCAGTGATAAGCAATGCCTTGCCTATCGGACTCTAATGCTCAGCAAGTTAGGGACTACTTTCAATAACTTTTTGAACGCTCCTCGTATACAGATTTGCAATTCAAAGGAATGTGTCCAAAACATTCTCACGGCGTGTTCAATCGCGTCCACCGACGTCATCTGTGTCATTATATAGATCACGACTTGTAGATAAATATTTTTGGGCTCGACTCGGTAGATGCACGATATTAAGAATTTTAACCCCAAAATTAGTCATACTCCGGAAACTCGGACATATTTTGAGAGCATTTATTGAAAGGGGAATCCGTTGAAAGGATCTCTAGATGTCGCTCAAGAAGCGCCAAGACACGGAGATGGAATCTCTTCCCTTCCTCAGATCTCATGTGAACTTCTTGAATAGTCCAAGCACTCCAAGGGATGACGTGCCACAACTGCGATTACACCATCTCACTTCGGTGGTGAAAATCTTGCTGTTTTTTTTTTCTTATAACTGCCAGATGACTTTAAAACTCATGACTTGCACCGATTGGATCGATTCCATGAAGCGCCCATGATGTCAACTATCTATTGGAGAGTCGATTTCCATTGCAAAATAAATATTTTGGCAAAAATAGGGAGAAAGGCGCTTCAGACAAAGTTTTGCCACTTGGAAGGATATATTATTGGATGTTAAAGAATACATGTACGAAATTGCACTATTCAATGCACGACAAATTGTCCAAAAAATATCGATAAGAAAAACCACTATGATGATGGTTTCATGGCGCCAACCACGACGACAGACATGCTCCTTCTTCCCGTTGTATTAATTGTTTTCCTTTAGTTTCCTTGTTACCCCAAAAGTTTTCGTGATGCAATGGAGTGTTTTTTCTCATCAAGTGAAAATCTACAAGACAGTTCAATTGCAATACATAAGTGGCTAATTAGTCCTGTGTCAGTCAGTGTGTCATTCCAGGATACTCCTCCCAGACGGATGGATGGATTTCCATGAGTGAGGTATCAATCGAAACCTGTAAGCGGTACTTCTTAGGTCAAAAGTCCAAAAAGTCTAACATTTTGACGTAATAGGCCAAATTTCGGCAATAAGAATAACATTGTTTGAATACCTTCCCGGGCGAAGTGCAATCATGGCCCGCAATCCACCCGAAACCAACGCTTAGCATTGAGATCTTGAATTCTTGAATATGCGAGCTTGCAGTGACGTCACAAGGATGCTCATGAAAGTGGCCGCGGGGACTCTTTCGGCTCTCTCTCATGGGGCCCGTTCCTCGCCTCTGCTAAACTTAAATCTAAATCTAAATCTAAATCTTAGGCTAAAACTTAGTCTAAAGGGTCATGGTGAAGAATAAACTTTTTGCTTCTAGACTGCTTTTAGATTTAGATTTAGATTTAGATTCAAGTTTAGCAGAGGCGAGGAACGGGCCCCAGGAGTCGAAACAGGTTATTTTCTCTTGCACTGGCCTCACTGCCCTCCCTCGCACTCTGCCTTTACCTGCAATCTGTAGTCTCACCATCTCCCTTGACCTCTTAGGGTGGATTTTTTAACAGAGAACTATCCGATAATGCAGCTTTATTCCAGGGAAAATACATGTTATTTTATTTCCTGGAAATAAAGCAGCATTCTCGGATAATGCTCTGTTCAAAAATCCACCCTTAGTTTTTCTATGCGTGTCGAAACGCTCAATGGAGAAAACTTGATGCGTTGATCCTAATTTCGAGACAGAATAAAGGCTTTCACCAGGAGACACGAAACTGAAAATCCTCGATAGACTTATTTCAACCAGTGGCGGCTCGTCAGGGAAGGCAAGGGAGGCCCAGACTCCTCAAATTTTCTCTGGAGACCCTTCCCCATACAATTGAAAATATCCATTAGGATAGCAAATAACTGAAAGAAATCTCTGATAATCATTGGATTCATCCTCAATTGACACAAAACAAGCGAAGTCCGGTTTCTGACAGTTGACTCCTGCCCAGAATCGCGTATGGGAGGCCAGAGCCTGGTGGCTTCCTCTGGCTCATAGACGATGCATAGGGGTATCCCGTAGCATTAGCAATAGTATACGAGTGCAGGGAGACCGGCCTCACCGTCTACAATGCGCATGAGCGGGTGCCTGCAAGCAAGAGCTGGCATGTCTTCAGGCTCCTTCGCCTCAAACAGAAAGCTTTTCGGTCATCCAAATTCGCATTGCAAATTTATATCTACGCAGTTGCCATGAATGAAAAGGACACAAGATATGTTATACATAATTATGACATTCACTAGGGTGTACCAGATTCGATTTTGTTTAGAAGTTGTGCAAGGGGAGATAGTCGTCAGACCGCTACTTTATTCTTGGACCGGATGCGCCTCTTCTCACTCAGGTGTTCAATAGAAGTTTTAATATCCGCTCTCCTTATGCATGATTTCGATACTATATTAACTGTTAACATGAAACAGTTCTTCGCTCAGCGACTGACCTAAGCACACCTTTCGTGCACCCGTCAGTACTACAATGAATTATTTTTCATTATGAGCTGGCCTCCCCATATTTTTCGTTCACGAGCCGCCACTGCTTACGACCAAGCAAAAACGTCCTCCTTTCCTGGAGAAATCTCAGTAGCGGGTATAGACATACTCATCGCAACCATTCATCCGTAAAAAAATACCATTTTTGGAGGGGAATAAACACAATTTAGGTGCACGCAAGAGATTATTAGGTCTAACCATTCCGGGAAAAAAAATCTAGGCAGTCGGACGATGGCTATACTTCCTATCTGGGACTTTTTGCAGCGCATTTTTCTCTTCCTAAGGAGAACTCGCAAATGAACGCAGATGAGTCTAAACCAGGGGTCGGGAACTTTTTTGGCCATGTGAGCCATATTAAGATAGAGCTAAGTGTTTGTGAGCGAAAGCTTTTCAGAACAATTTTTTCCTGAAGTTGGCGACAGACATACGCATTCTTTGGTACATGAAAAATGAGGAACAACCATGATTTTCAGTCATGACTCAATGAGCCAAACTTTTTGGTTCGTGAGCCAAATTTGGCTCATGAGTCATAAGTTCCCTATCCCTGGTCTAAACTGATTCACTACCTATTGGCCTATTACGTACGATACGATACGCTACTAGGAACAAGAGGCCCAACCCTTATCAGGCTCATCTAAGAGCCGAATAACCTCTAACCATGGAATGCTTAATTTTTCCTGACCTTAGGTGATACAAGTTCGGCCTTCTTCACTGGAGTTCGTTAATATCCCACTTCGTTAATATTCCCACTCGCTTAGGAAACTTTCCCAAGATGATGAAATGAAAGCCTGCTTTGTTTGGTTTCAAGCCCGAGTCCCCTCTCATGGGAGTCAAGGAAACTACCAACCCTCACCTCCTCACCAACCTCACAAGGATGCGCTTTCCGGAACCCATCTGCCGTGCACGTTTAGGAAGTGCCTATTACTCCAACCTTGTATTTAATAACCTTGTTTCGATTGCCAACTCTATTGTCCACCGAGCTTAGCGGGCCCGACCTGCTGAACGTGCCGGGGCCGATAGAGCCGGTCCGCAGCCCGCTTATGCATCTAAGTTTCAGAACTCGAGGTCTCCGAAGAAGTATTCGCTTGCACCCAATGAGTCAATCCGCATCCCTGCAGAACTCAGAATCATCCCTATTCTTTATTAAATTAACGGGCCTTCGAAATCAAAACGACGGGTCTTTATTCAAGGCTAAAGAACAGAACTCGCTGAAAATTTTCATACAGGCGATTGGGGTTTCCCTAATTACGGAATGCATCCTTATTTGAATATACCTATTTGAAATTCGAAAGTTGTGTTTCTTTAGAATACTATGAGACAGGACTTACTGGAAATTGCTAGATAAGGGAAATTGGAGGGTCTCTGATGACAGGAACCATCCCTCCTTTTTCCATCTGATTCTTTGGAGCTTCAAATTAGTTTCCTGGGTCTCATTTTAATACTATGGTGTCAATCGAAAGCGTATAACCCTGGAGGCGATACTTGGAGAAATGCCAGGAACCCTGAAGCAGATATTTAAAATATGAAGCTCTTACCTGTTTTATTACATGCCGGTATTTCAGGAAGTAACGGTTTCCACTTCCTCTAGATTCCTAGAATAATCTCAACTATAGCGCCACCTTGTGTAAGCGTTGCAGCTGATGAACTTCGGATATGTCACGGTAGGTGGCTCTCCCTCTGAGTGGGAAACTGCATGGGTTACCCTTCTCGTGTTTTGTTGCGACAGTAAGAGTTCGAAGAATGCTGATTCTGTCTTTTTTCCAGTCTAGAGATCGCTCTAATAGGTGATGACGCATCGACTATTCGACAAGTAACTTCGCATCACTCAGACTGATTTTCATGGCAACACCGTAGCATGCTTCAGACACTTGCTTGTAAAAAAATGTCCCAGTAATGCTTGTTTAGCCAATTTTACGTTTAGACTGACGTGGATGGTAGAAACCCATACGCGAAGACATTGAGGATTGCTGAACCTCACCCATCTTTCACATTTTCGGCCTTCCACAAACATGCTTGCATTGATACATGAGAATCGGGGGAAGAAGTTGAAGCCTCTGCATTATAACTCAGCTTCTCATAACACTCTGTACCCGGTACCCTTTCCAAGTATAAAGACGTAAAATGCCTTCTGACTGGTTAGGTTTGGGATTCTTGTTCGGTAGCTACAGCTGCCGTCAGTCTCAACTTATAGTATAGTCATGTATACCATAACTATACTGTACGTATACTGAAACTGGCCTACCTTTCGTCGAAGGGCGATTTTATGAAGACGGCCTCACACGAAGGCCCATTCATCTTCGGGTCCAGTTTTTTTGCTTTCTAAACTCTCTCTTCTCCCTTCTCAATCCAACTCATTCTAGCGTGAGCTCAGCTACGAGGTAGAAGAGCATCAACAATGAAAAGTAAAAAAAAGGGGAAGCATGTTTTAATACTGTTCGAGCATAGCTGCGCAATAGAATGCGGAATGAGAAGGACTCATGGATAGATTGTAGCACGGAGGAAATGACATCATTGATGCTCCATAGACATGGAGTCGGTCGTGGTTGTTCTCGAGCGTCTGACTTTCGTCAAATGCTCCTGAAAATAAAGGATGTACCCCCTAAAAGACACGGGTAGGATGTTGTTGAGGATGTACTCGGGCATAAAACTCAGTCGGAGGTCAGTGTTGTAAAGCCATAGGACCTGGGTCTTCATGGGATCTTCCGGAGCTGGAGAATACGCAAATCCGCTCGGGTATACTTCTCCCCTGTCCCATAAAATAACACAGACCCTCAAGTACCATGTATATAGAGAATGCATCTGTCAAGTATGACCACAGATTGAACAGATTGGAATACTTTTCTTTCCTCTCGCCGTTTCAAGTATCTGGTATCCTGTCTGTCATGTTTATCATGTTCTGATTACACGGCATAGGGAGACTTCAGAGGAACCTTGTCAAACATGAAAGTAAGGACACCACAGCCGTTTAATATATATACTTCGACCTTAATTAATTCAGTTATCAAAGGTTACATTTTTGACATAGTGCGAACCTATTCCAAATATCTCGAGAAGTCAGCAGCTGAGGTTCACGAGAGAGACTTGAGAATAGAAAAGAATATTTAATCGTCTCAACCTGTCGTATGACACTCTGCAACGTGATTCGATGCCGTGTGGAATGCAGGAAGAGGTTGAAAATACCTGACGTATTCGTCCGTGACTTCGTATCCAGGCCAGGACGAGCTGATATAACCAGAGTAGATGGTATTACCATCCCTCCTGCAACAGATGAGATTGAGGAAATCCCGGGGTCCGATGGCTCCTCCTGCCTGAGGTGATGTAACCTGATACGTCACGCGACAGCGATCTCCAATTCGCTGTAAATAAGATAATTTTCTTGGAAAAACTCATGTCAAATTGGATTTCTTGGCGATATATTCTTGGTGTCTCGGAGTAAATACTTTTGCGAAATGCGCCTTTCTGAACGATATAAAAATGTCATCAGACGATGGAGAATGGCAGTTCCCACAGTGATTCAGGTTGTTCTAAGCCTCAAAGAATATTACCAATACTGCAGTTTTTGTGAGTACACGATAATCACATAAAGAAAGACCGTATGAGCACTCTAGTTCCTCACCTTGATCTCTGTGAAGTTGGCAACATTGGGATTCCATTCTGGGATATTTTCTCCATTGAACCACACCTCTTCAAACAATTCTTCGTAGGGCAGATCCACAATGGCCTAAAGGAACCAATGAAAATCATATGAACCGACAGGAGAGTCATAAGTTTTGCGAAATCGCCGTTTTTTTCGCCGGAATTATGACCGCAATGTCTGCTTCCTTGGATGGGATGTTCTTCACCTCAAAATGTGCAAATTACTCTCTAAGACCTCGGCCGCTTTCACAGGTGGGTTCTTAATTAAACTCCCTCTGTATTCGAGAACACCTCCACTCCTACCCGCAGGTCTTTCTCTTTTTTTTTCAAGAATATTTGTCTAACTCATAATCGAGTCACTTATAATCTATAGCGGGTGACGTCATAGCATTCTTCCGATTTTCCTCGCAATGAATAGGACCAGCATTACTCACGGCCTTGAGACTCAGAAAATCCAGTTTATCTGAGACAGCCCTTTGATAAGCGCAATTCCATTGCTAACGTATCGGGATGATCTTTGAAGGTGCCCACTTCCCCCGAGAATGACTCACTTGAATGAGGAACATAGTCCTCTTCATGCCGGGATGATAAAGCTTCTTCACGTTGAAGCCTTCGTTCGTGAAAGCATTCATCTTCTGCCATCCCTTTAGCTTCATAATTTCTTGAAGGGTATCGAGGGTTTCCTCTCCTTGTTCCACGTAAGGAATAAGATCTGGCTACAACAAACCAAAGGTTTATTTTTACTTTCAGGCGCAAGGGATTGCATTAAATTATCTGAAATAATCCTCCCAGACTCACTGAGATGCCATGCGAGAGATGATCCGATTGCTCGGTCGTTCTTGGCTGTAACGTTGTTGAACTCGCTGGAAGCACCGATGTGCTTGGTAACGTATCAGGCCTTATCGTATCTCCTGTTAAAAGTGCAATTACCCTTTTTCAAACGGATGAATATCCAAAATCTCGCTGAACTAGGAGATTCTAATAACCTGGCAATGAATTTCTTTAGATGTAGAGTGGGTCAACAATAATACCTCGGTATATTGGGAGAAATAGGTCTGGGACATCTTGACGGATCTGCATTATTATCCTCATTGCCTTTGTTGGGCATTTGCCCTCAATAAGAACTCGAAAGCTTCACTTTTCTTAGAAGAAAAATCATTTGCTTTTTTTTTCTCCCTTCACCTTCACGGGAAGATCTTGAAAAGCCATTTCAACGCTACCAGAAGTTTTTAGGCTCAAACGGCACGAAAAAACGACCATTCTGCTTTTCTTTGTTTTGTTTTTGTTTTTCAACTAACCCGGGCCGACGTTGTGTTCGAGGAAGAAGTAGTTATTGGCAAGGAGGAAGTAGTTGAAGAAGAAATTCGTGACGAGATTAGTCGCCGTCATCTGTATGGAGAGAGAAAGGGGACGATAGTGCTCACTAGGGAATGCACAGGATGAAACGATCAAAGCACGAGTATGCAGTACAAGGCCGCGAATGCAGTTAGATTCAGACTTCGTGTCATTATCGCGTCAGAAATGAAGAGATAGGAGCACGCATTCCGATATTCTCTTCCTTCCTGCTTCGTGATGTCATTCAATAGCCTCCGCATAAAGAGGACCTTACTGCTCTTAAAATGAAACCGTTTCATTTCGTAAGCCTGGCTTTCACGAGAAAGAGAGTCGTGGAAGAAGTACGAGTCCTTCTTGCATAGCTTCATGGGAAAATACTGTTCCACTAATGAGTTTCCTTGCCTTTCGCTCGAAAAAAACTTGCAATACTCGCGCCTTCGACTCTTGATGGTGTAATTAAATAGATTTGTTTATCTAAAACGTGTGCCTTCAGCGTTCGCGCCTTCTAAAGTAGGAAAACCGCATGGATTTTAGTGTTTTTATATTGTGACGTCATGTTTCTTTCGATTGTGTGATGCCACTGTAAACTCGAGGTTCGCACCATGAAATAAATGTGGATATTCCCTCAAAAAACCATAGACGGCTCTTGATATTCAGCAGTAGTAGATCGGCAATGGAGGTTGACACATTCCAATTTTTGTTGCATATAATTGAATTATCACCCGACGATAAAGTGATGAATGACACTTATGATGCGATGTCCTTGTGAAGACTATCGCATTGCTTTAAGCAGATACTGCACTATCGCGTTCACATGCACGTGAGTCTTTTAAATGGGAGGAGACTTTAATTTCTCTCGAAGGACGTCTCAGTTCACTATGTTTCATTCATCTTCGTCCAGTACATTTGAAGTTCTGAAAGAACTCACTGTCGCGCCTTGAAGTTAAAATTTGAATTTTTTGCCTCATCTCTGGCATGCGGTAGCAGTAGCTTCTTAGAAATTCCAGATTGCCAGGACCAGTCAAATTCATATGCCCTTTTACTTGCCACTATCTTTAAAATGCTTTACTTTTTTAGCACTTACTGGGGTGAGAACGGAATGCAAAAAAAAGTCCTGTTCTCATGGCAGATCTGAAAAAAGAACATTAGTATGACATGGCATAAAGCCTCTGATAACGCATGGAGGAAGTTCAAGGAAGCAGTTGAAATACGTAGTGAAAGTTCGACATAATGAAACAATTATTCGTCACCCAAGTGTCCATGCCTTTCAATGTCTAAGGTTATCACTGTCGTTGTTGCACTGTATAGGGAACTCCCTGAAAAATAGAAATCTTCTTGCCGATTTCTTGCCGAGATTATCATTCAGCAAGCATTCCGTGCATAAAACGATGAAAACAAACGCAGTGTCACGTCGCAGTCACAAGCTGCCAATGCAACTGGAGAACACGTATGGGACTGATGAACATTTCATGAAATGTGAAAGTATACGCCTGTCTCGGCTTCTCTGGTTGTTCGAGCAAATGAGTTATGCATGGATCTCTCTTTCCTTCACAGAAAACAATGAGAATAGTTACAGACCTCCAAAGACCTGGAAAGATTTCCGAGGCGTAAGGATCTCTTTGATTCTCTCTTAATGAGCCATGCCATCCCGGACTAGTGATTCATACGCCAACTTCCTTTTTCCTCGTATTCTTCTTACCATGCGCATTTAGTCAAGGGAAAGAACCCATCTCCTTATAAGTGACTCATTTCATATGACTAAAGTGAACAAATAGAATATTATTAATCTTTAAACCTGCCCCTAATTTGCAATATAAGTGATTGCCTTTGGGGTGTATCCAAATTAATTCTGCTTCATTACAATCTCGACGAATATTTATGAAATTAAAACTGAGAAACAAGGCCTTCCTAAATACATGAAAGGGACCCATGTTTTTGGCACGAGAGATTCTTGTTGCTTCTAAACGCAAGCATTGCATGACTAGTGATCCTTGAAGGCACTTAATATCTCATTCGAAAATAAAATACTGAACAATGGAAGTCATGATGGGAAAGCCCATTGACTCCCCAGTGATCTCGAGTACCGACCGCCATCCACAAGTTCTCCGGTCTCTAATTCACCTCTCACCTCTCGTTCCTCGAACTGCCACGGCACGGATGCAGTGCAGAATAATTGCCGAGTTTAAGACAATCCCTCGTGTTCGTAAATGCACCATCAACACGGCAAATCTAATAGAAAGAACGAACAGTACAGAACAGGAGAGCTTCCTGGAAGGGAGAGCGAAAAGAAATGAAAGAGGAGAATCCGTACAACATCCCAAGGGATTCAGGGTTCCGGGCGATTTTCCCTTTCCCAGACACGTCTCCGAAACCCTCCGAGCTTTTTTTATTATAGGATGTTGTTCCTCGGCAAAGTATACTGGCTCCTTGTCTTCGCAGGGTCAGTCGAATTCTCAATTTCATAATGCTAATCTTCTTTGAACAGGAATGTAATTGCAAAGAAGGGAAACCATTAAGCTGCTGCAGTAATTTTTCCTGATTTCCAGATGCATCAGTATGCAAGTATTTCTGATTTCCTGATGGCATAGAAAGTCCTTAAAATACTGAAAGTTACGATGGGAGAGGCCTGCATCTCGATTCCTTTCCCAACTGAGAAATTAATGAGTCAGTGCCCTGTAAACTCCCCCTAACGCTGGAACCAAAGGAAACTTGATGTCCGAGTGAGACTCGCTCCGCAAGGGAAATTATGCGGATATTAGCTCTCTGCAGGTAAATCTTACAACCTAAAAGTCTTCTTTCTCAGCTTTTAGGGGATTATTTGCAAAATTACAAGCTTAATGTTTGCAACCCCTAACTGCAACATAAGTAACGGAAAGTTAGCCCATCAGAACCACGAATGTCGAAATTAATAATTTAGTGCTTTTTGTATATTTTTGCCGGTATTTAGCATGATGGCATGGAGAGGCACGACCGAATGACCCAGGTTCGGTGGTGTGGTGGTAGCACACCTGACCGGCAATCAGGAGGTCCGGCCCCTGGCTTTCTTTCGTCCTCTCATGCCATCCGAACCTTCCCGGTCCTCATGACAGGTAGATTCTTTAAAGAAAAAGATCTCATGATGACGTTGCCACGCTATTCTGCTGGGTTCATGCTAAAACTATCGCATCCCTGCACAGAAATTCTTGGACGTGCCAGCTGCTTGGCGCTCTCAAGACTGACAGCACGACACCTGTACATGGTATATCTAAAAATTAAGGTCTGCGATCGTTCCGTTTAACGCCCTAGATTATTCCTACCCAGTGCTTCTCAAGATTTAGCGGCATACCGCCTGCCCCTAAACTTTCCCCTAAACTTCTCCCCTAAACACGGGAGGCAACGCGGTGGCAGCTTTCGCAGACCGTGATGTTCCTCGAAAACTTGATCACGGTACTTGACCGGTACTTGATTGATCTTCAATCGATTCGCGGTCGGGGGAGTATTGGACGCGTCTCACTGCGTTTCCGAGTGCCTCTCGCCGATGGTGCTGTCACATTCATGATACGATTCAATCTTCAGGGAGAGATTTCTCCCACCATACGCCTGTGATTGCAACCGTTATCATCAACAGGCGCGGTAACGCCTAATACCTTTCTTCGACCTCTTCCCGCAACAAAATTCTACCTCCACGTATTCCTCTCCGAGAGCATCAACAGGAACGAAATTTGACTGGCTTCCTCATCTCTCAACACAGAATCACTCCAGAAAATTTAAAGCTCCATTTCCCTGGGATTGTGGAAAGTACTGAATTTCGCTTTTTGAAGAAGTGAATTTCATTCCGGTATTTTTTTCTTCTCCATCATGGATAGCCACTCCTGGAGAGTTTCCAGAAGAAAGAGACCAACCAAACGAAAGATATTGACTTGCAGGTGACGAAAAGTGTCCTTTTTGTATCTTCCAGTGCACCATTTCGCCATTCCCCATCCTTCAGTGTTGCCGGATATCGTGCCGGTGTTGTGTCAGATTCATGACATCTTCGGCCTAAGTATCAGAGTCTGGATCTTCTGCTTATTAATTTATGAGACAATTTTGTGCCGAGTTCATGAGATGAGCTGGGATTGAAACGATGATTAGCAGTGGCCGATTGATTTGGTGGGATATGGAGATATCTCATTCGAACATCCCTAAATTAAAAGGGCCATGGGAATAGGCATGCAATTGGCCTAACGTTACACACCTTCCGAGATGTCTCGAAGACCAGGATTAATCCTTATAGGCCTAATTGGCCCCGTAAGCGGAGGATTGAGTTTCTTTTGAACTAAAGAAGGAAGGCTTAGGCCTGACCCGAAGGCAGTCCGTCGGTTAGGCCTAAGCCTAACATTAATCCCAGGTAAAAATATTCTTACTGTAGGCTCTCTTAATAAAAAATTATATTGATATAAGATCGTATATAATTCTATGATTTTTCTCCATAGAATTCTATTAAATCACTGTATGGAAATTCTATGGAGATTTTTTTAATAGAAACCCTATCAAGAACCTTACCAAATTTCTAGAGAATTCTACGAAGACTCTGTAGATAAATTCTGCAGAATTTCTATGGGGCTGTATGAATTTCTTTTGTGTCATTGTCTCGAAAGTGTATAAATAGTGTATAAATATAGAATTTATATTGAATATAAAGCGTCAGCGTATAAGAGAGATATTGAAATCCCATCAAATTTCTTTTAAAATAAATAGATGCCTATAGGGTTCCAAAAAGGAAAAGATAACGAATTAAAGGTAACCTATTTTCTTCGACTTCAGCTCGTACCAAGGTAATCTATAATTGTATAGAATATGAAGAAACTTTTAGAAAGTTCATACCCGATTAATTTATGATGAACTTGTGAAAGCATTGGCATTTGGTAATGGAGGGATATGGCTCAGGTCGTAGTTGTGAACCGTTGGAAAACCTCATGGGGATCATGCATCAGAGAGTCGTTTCATCCCGAGTGGTGCAATTTTAAAGAGCTGCGCCGACTGGGATTATGTTGTAAAATAAAAATGAACTTTAGAATACGAGAAACAGGACGAAC